CCCTACCCCTCCCTCCTCTCTCTCTCTCTCTCTCTCTCTCTCTCTCTCTTTGGCTTTCTGTCCTGCTCTCTTTCATCGTGATGCACGGTCTTAATTAAAATGCGCATTCACGCGCCGAAAAGAATTTATTCACGCTCACAATCAGGCATCACGGCTGCATAAACTCGAATCCCCGTAAAACGCACGAAGACCGTCGATATGCTTCTACTTCTTCTCTTGTGATGGTTGCACAACGATAGAGTGCTATGATACTGTGTTTGTTGAGACTTTATTTACAGTTCGATTGGCACAACCGCGATTAATCGATGACGGTCATTCACTGGTCGTCATCGTCGCGGGTCTGTATGCAGTCTATTCGACGATTTGTACGGCGGCAGTTTGTAGTATACGAGTGCGACACGATACCCTCTATGGTGACAAGAGTGTTCCTCTTTGTTCGCCGACATGGGAAGTGAGCATTGCTCCGACTTCATTCTCGCTCCATTAAATAGATAATGAACGAAAAGGTCCTTCCCTTCCCCTCCATCGTTTTGCCATAAGTGCGTTTATCACTATAAAAGAAAACAATGAAATAATCTTAATCGGGAGAAAATATTAATCAGGAGAAGAAACTGAAATATCAACAGTCCAACATATTAGAAAAAATTAAATTTGTCCAAGATATTAAAAATGTAAAATTTGTCAAAAATTTTGAATATTTTGACATGATCAAATGTCATGAAATCTTTAGAAAAATTGTTTTGTATTAATTACATTTTTATAAATTTATTTTATATACATAAAATTTTTAATAAAGAGTTGTACATAAAGACATAACATTAAATAATAGTTTGATAAAATATTATATCAGCGGATTTGTTAGGTTGTTAATCGATTTGTTTAATTGATATGTAATATGTAAGAAAAGTTGCAAAAAATTGTGACGTCAGAAACATGTGCACGCACACGCGTGTGTGAGTACAACAAGGAAGATTGATGAGAAGCATAACGGCTGTACAATGGCTCTAACAAATTGATGGGTTAATAAATAAGTAACTCAAGATGGGCATTAACCCTTTTGGAGTTTAAAAATTTTACAAGGGTGCCACGACCGAATGGGGAATTGTAATGCGTGTGAAATATTTCAAGTATACGAGTCATTTCACGACGGTGACAATATGCCGCGAAAAAGGGGGTGGAAAAAGGGCGATTCCACGACAATCGTTAAAAATCGTGGCGTAATATATTTTTTTCCCATTCTAAAAAACCGATTTAGCATATGACTGAATACTTTCACGACGTAGTCATAAATCCAATAATAAAATGAAAATGATCGTCCGACAAGTGATTAGCAAATGAAAACAGGATTAATGCAAATATTTTTCACGCGAAACTGTCTTGTAAATAAATCCAGATTTGATCTTTTCAACTTTCATATCAATTCTTTTTACGTCAACGGCGCGCATTGTGCCCGTCGACAGGCGAACATTGAAGAGAATGAAAGAAGAGACATCAGCGTTGTTGCGGGAGAGTACAAAAAAATGAAGTTACGTGATGCAAGATGTGTCGCGAGGGTTTACTTCCGCGTGTCGACGGGCGTGCTTGTCCGTAGCTGTGGGATGCTTGTTTGCGAAGCACCCTCTTTACCATTTCAATGCTCCAATCGGCTATGACAACTGTAACATCGTATGCGTACTCGATACCCATGAGAATTTCTGTCAATGGCCGAGTTCGTTCGCGCATGCGAAACAATGGACCGCAGACGGCAGACGAGTCAGAATTTTCTCCGAGATGCTCGATATTTAAGGGTAAGGGTGCGAGAAACGGCAAAATACCTATAACTGCGTCATAAACGGGGTTACGACGCAGATCATAAAAAATCGCCGTAACGTTTGCGCAATAAAACGATAAGACAAGAGAGGGAGAGAGGGAGAGGCAGAGAGAGAAAGAGAAATAATTGCTGAAGCCGGGCAAATACAGGCGCGAAAACGGCATTTATCATCAACAGAGCTTTCTCACACAGCTGTCATCAAAAATTTGTAGGAAAAAAAAAATGTCCGATGAAATCGCAGTTTCCCACTCCGCCCACCGATTGACGAGCGTTTTCGTTCGAGCTCGCACTCGCAGCCTCCCTCCTTCGACGAAGGGGTTACGTTACGAAATTTAAACATCCATCATCTCCGCGTCAACCCCTTGGCGGGCCTTCCATTCTACTTGGCACGCGCCGTTATAATACTCGGGCTTAACTCGCTTTAAATTTAACTGCCCTTTAAAACTTTAACTGCGCTTTACGAACGGGCCCGAACTACGGCCACGACACGTCCACCATCGACGGCCGTCCTGACTGGGTGAAGCCACTCCGAGAAGGCGCCGTCTGTTTTTACGATCTCTCATCTCTTTTGTTGCGCGAGCGCGAATCGACAAGAGAAACTACTAAAATGGAAATTTCACGTGAGCTTTCGATGGAGCGCAAGCCTGAAGATAAATTTATAAAGCCCCACGCACAAAAGTGTCCGCGGAGATGAATTTTTTATTGCACTCCGATTTGGATTCGCTGCAACTCGCTATGTAGATCTCGGCCAAATGTTTCTTATGATATGCTGAGACGTGAAGCGAATGAATACTAATACTTTTACTCCCGTATTATTCTTGGTTATTTAAAAAATTGAAAAATCGCAAAAAAATAGAATTTTTTAATACTAGTAAATGCGCAAAGACCATTTTAAAAGAAAAAATATTAGTATAGATCGACTTTCTATTAAACATAATTGATTTAACAAACACTCGCATTATATTTTTTCTATTTTTTTTTACAAGAAATTAGTCTGTATGTTCTCACATGTAAGCAAGAATGTTATATAATCTTCATATAGAAGATTTTTAATCTTGAGTTGAGCAAAAATAAACTTGCATCAATATGAAATCAATCAAGCAAATCAAAACTAAAATGTTTAAGAAAATATTATAACTAAAAAATAATTGTCTTGTTTGTCTTAATTTGTCTTAATTTAAAGACCAATATTTTTCTGTGTAATCTCGTTTACACATATCGACGATGAAGAAAAACCATCTATTGTTTACTCACGTAAAATTGTTTCGCCACTGACGTATGATTAATCCAATTGCTATCTCCGTGGTAATCCAGTTTAGGTCTTCGCCAGAAATTTCTACGGCCACATGTATCCGTAATAAATGGTAGTCGAGTATAAGGTCGAAGGATTTACACGACGGGACCTTACTCGCGATGCCGTTGTCATGTATCATATACGACGGATACTTTCGTTTATTATTCATGATGCGATGTTGGCCGCGGTCGCTCGCTCGGCGATACGTCGAAGGCCCCTGCGGATGTTCAACAGTAAAAACGTATTCACGACTTGGACCATTTAGATTCGCGATCCATTCCATCTCCCGAGATATATCGGTGCCCTCTTCATTCAGAGATTCTCGAAGTGAAACTGGCTTCTTAAGAGCAGTTTCAGAAGAGTATCACGTGGATCTGTAAGAACTAAATCTTCTTTTCCATATGATACATCGAAATTTATTAATCTTTTATTAATTGTAAAGCCGAGAAATTATGCATGTTACACGTGTAATTAGCATCGTTATTATTTTTGGTTTTGAAATAAATAAAATAACGGAAAGGCTAACGTTACATCTCGATTGATTCTCGCTCGATTTTAAGTATCAGAAATTGTGGAATGGCCTATCTTGATATGGACGAAGAAAACTAGCGGAAATATGAGAACGAAAGAAAAGAAATAGAGAGATAAACCATTGATAGAGGGGGGAGGGGGGGAAAGATAAAAGAGAGAAAAAGTAAATACGGGAAAGATAATAAGGTAAAAGAACGGAGGGAGGAAAAGAGGGAGAGAAAGGGAGAGAAAGAGAAGAGAAGAGAAAACCGCAAGGGGGCGAGTTATCTCGGACTATCTCGTTCGCTGAGCGATCGTCTTTTGGTTCGGCTAACGCGCGACTGCCGCGTCGAAACCGGAAATTACGTCTGGGGCTCCATCTCCGGTGTTGTGCTGCCGAGAGAGTTGGTGCCGAGAGACTTGGCGGAGTTCGCCGTCGTGAGAATGCGTCGCGGTGCCTCGGCGACGCAACGCGATGCGACGCGACGCGACGCGACGCGACGCGATGCGACTCAACTCGACGCGCTGCTGCTGCTGCTGCTGCAAAGTCGAGCGGACTTATTAAAGTTGTAACCACTCTCGTCTGCTCTCGGCTCGCCGCTCGCGAAACTGTTTCCACGTGTAATAATAACGTTGGCGAAGCGGGTCGGTTCCGCGACAAGCGAAATTTCACGATACTCGCGATGAAATTCACGTCTCGAGAGAAGAGACGCCCGGTGGAAGCGCGCACAAGCGCGATTTACTACTAGAAATGGGAGTCTGTTTACCAGCGCCCGTGGCAAGATATTTACGTAAGATATCGCGTAAAATATCGCGGCAAAATGTTCAGAACTTGAAAACTCATATATACACAAATATTCATATACAATATATATATATATATATACAATATTAAAATTGGAAATGCGTCTTGGATCGTTCAGTTGGAATTGATACAAACGTTACGACGTAAGAGTTATATATTTGCGCGAAAACTTGGATTTTTTTTTTCGTAATCAAATGTTACGTACCGTTCTCTCTTTTTTTAAATTTAAGAACCGTTTTTATAATCGCGACCTTTTTTTCTCGACTCCGTGATATCGCGAGGTAAAATGTTGCAAAATTCGCGCGGATTAAACGAGGGATCTCAAAGCGTGTGAAACAACGCGGATATAGCATGTAAGATGTGCATGTACGTGTGGATACGTGTTTACGTATCTGTGTACAAGAAGTACTAACCCTGGCGTCATTTCCTAGAGCGAGGACCAAGTTACTGCAGCGACATCGGCGAGTCCTCGACGGAGGGTAATAAAGCCATCTTGCTAAGGGGGGGTTTTGCCTCCTCCACCCACACAACCCGCCCCTGAGGAGGTGGCCGGATAGCGATCTATACTGCTGGTCGCCCCTCTCATCGTTGCCTGGCAACCATTCTCTCTATCTCTCTTCGCTCCCTCTTTCTCTCTCTCGTTCTCTCTCATTCTCATCCCAGTCTCCCTCGCTCCGTGCCATCTCGTTCCCAACCCCTTCTACGGGGATGCTCTTCCACCTCTCACTCCGAAGAGACCGTAGAGAGCGAGCGATGATGAAGGACGAGAGATAGAAAAGGATAGAAAGAGACAGAGGGAAAGGGAAGAAGGCCAGAGATTGCGCCCTTATCTCGTCAGATACCGACCGCCCCCGCTTTCAGTTTCCGTTCCATCCGCTCTCCCTTTCTCTCCCTCTCTGTCTCTCTTCCTGCGCGTTACTCCTCTTCGTCCGTGCCGTTACGTTTTCCTCGTCCTGCCTCGACTTTCGCCCCGGAGAGGATTGACACCCGTAGGGGCGGATGCAACGACGGCGTCTGATTCGATCTGCCGCAATAAAATTATACCACCGACTAGCGGCGCCTGTACTTTGGAATTCTTGTAACACGCTACAGCTACAAAGCGATTGTCTCGATTGGCCAAAAATTCGATTGTTACCGCATTGATTGTATTTAACGTTGAAAAACTAAGTAAACGAAGAAAGCGATGACACTTACCATTCACGATAAATTCATTACGATTTACCTCTTAGCGTGACACGTATATCGCGAGGATAAAAATTCCCTGATTCTTCCACAGGGAGGTTCACCAGACGATAAAAAAAAGAAGAAACATCTCTTGATTTGTTTCGCCCCTTTCTTTCGCCTTGCCATCATTTCTTCCCTCTCATACCTCATCTCTTCCCTCGTTCCTCTTTTCTCTCGTCCATCATTTTCCCTCGCTCTCTCTTCCTCTTTCCTTTCTATCTTTTCACAATCTCCTTCCCCCCTTTTTCCATCTCTTTTCGAACTGTCTCTCTCCATCTCACCCCTCCGAACGAAGGAGGGAGAAACCGGGGCTGATAACGATTTGATGTATGGTCCAGTGATGTCACTAGTCGACGGGCAAACTCCCCTTTCCCTCGCGCAACGAGGAACAGATTACATGGATCGATAGGATTACTGGCAAAGGAAAGTCGAAAGCACGAAATTTTTGCCCGAAAAATCCTGCAGTTCGATATTCCACCCTGTTTTATATTCAATTCACTAATGTTGACGTACAGTTAGTTTAAATACTAAAGAAATGCATATCTCTCGAAAAAAAAATCAACTTTTTATATATTAAATACAAGCACTTATTAAAGCAAATTATTCGTTTTTTAAATTATCAATATTTATATATATATATCTTATTTTCAATAATATTTCTATTTATTATATTAATATTTTTATTTATTGGCTTCTATTTTTTGTTATTTTCTACTTATTATATTTTCATGTATTATTTCCATTTTTTTCTCAACGTTATGTTTTTAACGCAGTTATCTAAGAGAAAATGTACAATTTTTTTTTATCGAGACTCGAACATTCTATAAACAACATTCCTTCTGAAGAAAGAGATTTTTCGTTTAATACGAACTAACGCGTAATGCAAAAGATTCCCGTTCGATTCGTTGATCAAATTTCATTTCGGGTTCCGGGGGGGTGTATTTTATAATTTCGCATTCCTATCGAGTCGCTCGATCTTTTCATCGCGCGAAACATATGTTTCTAAGCATCTGCGACAAACTGCGGGGGCGTTCCTTCTTGTTTAGATTTGAGTCTGGTAATACACCAGGTCGACCGGATGCCGACGGTATAGAGCGGGTGGTAGTCGGCGGGTGATTTAGTAAGATGAAAAGCTACGTCCCCGGGCAACCCCCGGCGGCGTTATCTAGCGTAGACAGAGATTGCCTGTTCCTTACAAAACCCTACCGGAGAGCAACGCATCCGGGATATCTTTCACCGCTCCTCGAGGCCGCGCTCCGCCCGCCGTGGAAAAGCCCAGGCTCGTTTCCTAGCAAAAATCGAATCTCGTCGAATTAAATCGACCGAAGTCGCTCCGAGTGTCGCGTTTTATCCTTACTTTTTTTTTTTTTTTTTTTGAATTAACGGAGAAGAAAATCCGAATATCTTAGGACGAACTTCGATCTCATTTTTTTCTTTTCCCGATGGAAAATAGTGTGTTGTTTCTTGAGAGAAAAATTTTAATTTCACGTATGGGATCTGTCTACTTGTTAACTATGTGCTATTCATCATGCATATGAAGTTTCTAAAGGAAATACATTCTTGTTGCATAATGTCAGAGTCATCGCTGATCCTTGATCGATAACGCTATTAATTGCATTTACGAGGCGTTACCAGACGAGATAAACGACTCCACTGAAGTCTTCGTCGACGTATAAGGCTTCTTTGCCAGGCTTATCTACATGCAGAACGCAAAACTATCGATTCACGCAAAAGTCAACAGCATACGTTGCAGAAATGAAGACTAGAAGCTAAATTAGTGAGTGCAAAAACGAAGCGAACGGAAGCAGTAAGAACATCGCGATAGATGGATCAATTAAAGCTACGGAAGCTATGCGGGAGTGTGCAAAAAGTTGTGCATGCCATTACGAGTTTCTTAACAACAGCAAACTTATTATCTCCTAACACATACACGTACGACTAATTAATTTTATAATTATAATAGCTTTTATAAATAATACATTGTAATTTAATAAACCCTTACTTAACAAAAATATTACAGAAACATTTCAATGCGCTCATACGATGGTGCTTCGTTTTAGCATTTTAAATTTTCTGACACGACAAGCACACGACAGACACTCCTTTCGCGAATTCTCTCGGTTTGCAAACGCACAAGCGAAACGTTAAATTTTCGTAAACGGTTCCGTTAACGACTGAAAGAATGGAAAAACTTTTTCGACGCGAGGGAGCTTAAAAAATAGATGGACACGGGGGACCAAGAATGATGGCAAGATCTTTTATGGGAGAGCGGGAGAGGAGGAAAAAAAGAAGCGGGAAAAAGTATGGCGAGAGCGGAAGACGGAAGAAAGAAGAGGATCTCTGAAAGAAGCTCGCGGCGCCGGCGGCACGTCATTCTCCGCGAGGAATTAAATTTTTATATCTTTTGCTGAGAGTTTGAGCGATAGGACGGGGGCAAGTCGTCCGTTCGTATACGGTAGATACTCGCCCGATGGGCGTTTTAATTCAAAAGTCGGATTGCCGTTTCCACCAACTTGGAGGAAGCGCGAACGAGAAGAGTCGGAAAGGAATATTCAATTTGTGATAACGCCGCTTAACGAAATTTTTCTATCGTCGCGTTATCGCGTGATAAGACAAAAGCTATCGTGTAATCCTATAAATTATAATTTTTTTTTGTATCTATCGCGTATCGTCTACCGATATAAGATTCCTTCGATAAAATTCTAATCTTCGATTTCTTTTTTACAATTAGTAACAAGAGTTACAGAGTTACAGAGTTTATAGCAAGACAGACTTTATAGCAAGACAGTGTAATCGTTCAACAAACGATTGTAGGAAGAAAGAAGGTTTTAGAAGGAAAGAACGGTCAATGTTGGAGTTCTAAGTCCGAAAATAAAGGAAATGTACGAGAGAGAGAGAGAGAGAGAGAGAGAGAGAGAAGAGAGGAGGGGTGACGATACGTAAAACGTAAAGACGAAGGCGAGCTCAAGGAACG